AGGTCTGTACCTATTTCTATGCACCTACCCCCATACCACTTTATTATGGCTATGGAAATTTCTGTGGCTTCTGCTGGCTGCTGCTTTTAACAGTCACTGGAAGGCTGTTGCATTTAGGGGAGAAGCTTGAGAGAAAGGGTTCTGCTAGGAGGCCTTCATCTTGCTGACAAAGACAGAGGAGGAGGAAGTTGTGTGATCTGTACAGACTAAGAAGACAGCTCTGAAGACTAAGGCAAGGAGAGAAAAGATGGTTAAACCACCTTGCAGGAGTGCTCAGGGATCTAAGCCTTATATCAGATGGTCATAGTTTGAAGAGTGTGATGTTGCAGACTCTTCAGGTGTGGCTGAAATGGCTTCATGTTGGAATTAAGCTCTCTTTATGATAGAATCACCTTTGCAGAACATAGAGGGGAAATGTACCAGATCTGTAGATGCTGTGTCTGCTGTGGAGCAGAGCTGCCTGCCTCCCTCAGTGAATCCTTGAGAGGAGGGAGATGATGAGTGGGATCTCCCCAGCACATATCCCTCTTGACCACAGGGAAGAGAAAGCCCCCTCAAAACCTGTCATGCCTTCATAGCCACATCCAGCCCAGACACTCTGCAGGAGCCCTTGGGGTTTCTTCCTGGTCCCTGTAGTCCAGCTGATGTTGGCATATCTGCAAAAACATTTACCTCTTAAGCAGCCCTTTGCAGTTAGCCATGAAGCATTGCAGCCAGATTGTTGCAGTAATCCTCCCTCAAGAACAGCAGTGGGGGAAAAAGGGCAGAGGGAGCCTGCATGGCCCCAGACAGCTACAAATCTAAGGAATAGAATCAGCAACATGCAGGAGTTCAAACGTGTCCCACTTGGGTCTCTGCCCAGCCCAGCACACTGCCAGCTCCCACCAGGGACTGAATGGTCATATCTGAGCTAGTTGATGGCACTGTGTTTTTATTTACTGCTAGCTTATTCTTTCACTCCCAATCATACTACTCTTTCCGTTCCTGGAGGGACAGATTAGGCAAAGGTCCTAGGCTGCTGGCAGCTCGGTTTGGCTGCTGTTTTCTTCCACTGATGTTTTTAATAAGGAAGGAAATGGTTGTTCATCTCAGGGAGAGCCATTCTGTCATAAGCTGACATTCCCTGGGACTTGTTTTTATTAGCTCTGCTCTGGTTTACAGGCACTGACAGAGCTGCTCATTGATTTTCTCAGCCCAAATAATATCTAGGCTGCCTGCCCACCCTGCTGTGGTTGTGACCAGGGCTCCCATAAGTCCTCCTGCACAGGTTTCCATCGGTGCTCTCCTCCTGCAGCTCTTGGCCCCACTGGAGCAAAAGTAGGGTTTTTTTCCAAAGCTGGAGAAATCTTCTTTAATTGGGCTTTGGAGTCAGGCTCATGCCTAAATCATAAATGTAAAGGGTATTTAATATAGAAACCCATCCATTGAAGTGGATTCTTTCTTTCAATTACTCAATAAGTCATTCCTGTGTTGCAAGTAATCTGCATGTCAGTTTACCTCTAAAGCTAGTGTAACTTAGTGGTAACAAAACTCATTGGCTTGCATTCTTGACCATGACAAGACCATGACATTTCATGGTCTTGACAGCCATGGTGATTTTGGGCAGGGAGGTGTTTGATTGATGCTCTCAGGAAATTGTCGCTTAGACTGATGTCTGGTATCTCCCATGGGCTTTTCTAGTTGCCCAGATGTTTGGGGAGGTTATGAAGAAGCAAGAGTTGACTGTTATCAATACACTGGTGGTCTCAGATGTATTTTGCATGCCTTAGGGACCCTAGGGTTGCAGGGTGCTGGAAGGATATTGCTAGTATGTGCATCAGTTATTTTATCCTTAGTCAGGGAGTGCTTGAACACTACTGGTCAGAGCACGGAATATGCACCTCTTGCATGTCTCTGCAGATGGGGGACCACGCTTGGAGTTTGCAACCCAGGTATGAAATCTTGTTTATCATACTTGACCCTGGAATATACCAACTGTGTAAACCAGGTACGTTGCTCCCTTGTTTGTGATGGCAACCAGGTGATGGGAAGGATACTCTCGCGTCATTGAGAAGTGATTACCACAATTCCTCCTTTTCCCATAATATTCTGCTTTGTGGCCTATGGCAGTGTAGTTTCAGTCTTCAGCAACAGGCGAATTCCCTTTTGTTGGACTTCTTGGTGTTAAAGCTCTGGATGTGCCTGGCCTGGGGACAGCTGGCGCTGCCATGGGAAGAATGCCAGTGTTTATCAACTCCTCCCTGAGCCATCGTCTCTGCTGTGGCAACTGAAATAGGGCATCTCAAACAGGATGGAACACACTCAGCCTTTGAAATCCAGCTCAGTCTTGGGCTTTACTAGAAAAGCTACAAATTCATATTTTTCCCCTGAGGTGTTTTTTAAATTGCTCTTGTTCCCAGTTTATTGTTATTATTCTGTTTTGTTTGTTCTTTTGTGAGTTTGTTGAGTTTTGGGAGGGAGGTTGTAATTAGAGCGAAGTTGTTTCTATGGTTGTTTCCCAGCACCCCAGGGATGGGTATTATGTACATAAAATAAGTATTATCATTGCAATTAATATTAAAAAGAGGAGTAGTAAGAATGAATAATAATACAGCAGTGAAGACTCTGTTTCTTTCTAAGCATGGTGAGCTTTGTGGGCAAATGGCCTTTCCCTGGGAAAGACCATGAACCTAGATGGCAGGATACCTCTCCAGGAGCAAAACAACCCCTAATTCCTGCATTGTCTTAAGGTCAGCAGGGATATATTACAGGAGCTGAGACTTGAGAGATTCATCTTATGTAGGGGAATAAGACCCTGTGCCAAGCTAACTTTGTTTTGGGATAGATGAATCTGTGCTGTTGGCCACATCTGGATGGGATGGATCCATCTGGCCAAAGTCTGCCTGGTTTCTTTTTCCTTGCGTCAACTCACATTAGCTGCCTTGCCTGACTCACCCAGCCCAAGAGCTTTTGGTCACTTCAGCCTGTCAGGGTGATCTAATCAGGTGAGCTGGCAGGGTTGTTCAGGGAGATGTTCTCCTGCTGTTCCCCAGCAGCATCAGACAAAAGAAAGAATGATTTGCAAGGTGCAAGTTTTGCATTAACATTTTTTTGCACTGAGTTAAGAGGGATGGATGAGCTGGAATGACACAGATGTGTGGCTGCCAGGAAAATGACGTGTGCTTCCTCTTCTCAGTTTTCTGGGTGATGCTGAAGGAGCTGGCTAGAACAGGCATTTCTGTCATGATCTACAGTAAGCACACAATGATTTCTTGCCTCTCTGTTGGCCTTGTGATCCCTAGTTCCTTAGATATTTGAAATACTCAGGAAGAGCTGCAAGAGCATTTGAGGAAAGGAGCCCTCATCTCTCCACCTCCAAGTCTCCCTGGAGAGAAAACTTCCAGCATGGAAGAGATGGAATGGAAAGTCACTCCCCATCTTTCATTATTATTTGATGCCTATCACTCATGCTGATAAAGCCAAAGAGCTGAAAGGTTTGAGCTGTTTCTCGCGGGTGCTGACATAGCAGAGTGTATATCAGGAAAGGACTGACATTTGATGTGGCTTTATCATTGGCAAGCAGGCAAATAAAATGGATAAATTAATCACCTTTTCCCTCCGTCTGTCATAAGCTTTTATCCCACAAGGAGGAAAATGTTTCCAGTTTGTCCTGGCTTTTTGAAGTGTGGCACTATTGTATTTGCCAGCCTACATAATGCCTAAGTCATCAAAATACCAGAGGTGGAGAGGAATGTGAATACCACTTATAGCACAGCCTGGAAGACCACAGAGCTGGGTTTCAAGCCTGTCCAGTCTATTTGAAAAGCCCCCAGAGATTTCCAGCCAATCTTTCCCTCAGCTCACTGACTCTAACTGCTTAGCTCTGAGCAGCCGTCTCACATATCACGACGTATTTCTCATTTCTCATTTGCATTTAATAAGTAATGATATCTCTAATTTCACTGCATCTGGTGGAAACATGGAGGGTTATGGGCAAGCTTTACAGCCTGAATAAGGAATAAAGAGGTGGGATAGCATTGGTGTCAGGGTCCCAGAATGCCCTCCTCTTTTCTGGGAGAGATGTGCGTTGTAAGCCCAGGAGCAATCCAGTGGTGTTTTATCAGCAGAACTAAGGCACACCTATGCTGCCCCTTGCAAAACTTTGTTGCTGGGTTGCTTGATGTTGTCACTGCAGTGGCCATATTTGCATGGCTTTGGGGTAAAACCATGTTACAAGTTCATCACAGGGAATCTCACTTTTGGGGCTGTCTTAAAATCTCCATTCTGTTACAATTTAAAAGGAAATTAATGTTAAAAGGTCTGTCTTTTTTTCTGGGTAGCATTCCATAGATCAGGCTGACTTCCCAGGAGTTTTAAAATACAGCTCTAGGGTTTGAAAAAAAAAAAATAAAATTCAACTTTCTTTCGCCTTCCCTAGTGGAAAAAAACAAACCAAAACAAAACACAAAAAACCTCAAGACATTTAAGTGATCTTTTTCTGTCCAAAGGCTTTAAGCTTATATGTCTCTGTGAACATTTAAAGAGAGTCTTTTTTCACTGCTGGTAAATGGTTGTAATGGACTTGTGGTTCTAATCTGCACGATGTTGTTAGCAGGAAACATTTTTACACTGGAATCACAGTGTTCGATGATTCTTTATACTATGCGTGCACACTCCTTTGCCATATTTGCTAAAGTTGGAGCTGCACATAAGGCTAGCTGTGACATCTTGGTATTTTCAACAGCAGCATAATTGTTTCTATGATATTTTGGGGTCTGAGTCTGCTCAGAGTACCTGCAGTTTGCCAGATGCTTTGGAATCTGTGTTTCAGGTTGCAGCTTTCTTGATGAGGGATTCAAGTGTAGGTCCATTTAGTCTTTTTGCTACTGGACCCCTTTGCCACAGTTTGGTGACTGGATACAAATATTTGGGAAAGGGCCTCAGACAAAACCTCACTCTGTGTCTGGGATGGATTAGAAATCGCATGCGACTGATGATTTGTTTGTTTGTTTTATTTCCAGCACAGCGATGCAGTCCATGACCTGCTCCTGGACTTCATCACATGGGTTGGCATCCTGCTGTCACTGGTCTGCCTCCTGATCTGCATCTTCACCTTCTGCTTCTTCCGTGGACTTCAGAGTGACCGCAACACGATTCACAAAAACTTGTGCATCAGCCTCTTTGTGGCAGAACTCCTCTTCCTCATTGGCATTAACCGGACTGACCAACCGGTAAGAGACAAAGCACTTTCTGCTCCTGCCGTAGGCTCTCATCTCAGTGCGTATGGGATGTTTGACCATGCAGTGAGATGTATTCCAGCACTGCCTTAATTCAGTACATGACTTCTTGAAGGGTCGGGCCCCTGGTTGTTAGTGGGGAGTCATATACTGGTGCCTACTATTATTTCAGAGGCTGTATGTGCATTATTTGTAAAATAGGTGTTATGTTTATTAAGGTTGCAAAAGTGCATTTATACTATGTACATCTTTGCATTTTGATTTGCCAGATTGTGTACATACGTGCCTTTCTATCTTTGAATGTAATTTATAAATGCAGATATGTGTTTATTTTAAAGTAGTTCACAAACATTTTCCAAGTGAAAAAAAAAGTTCTTCCTTTGGAGAAGAACTCCCTCATTCTTATTAAACTTTCCGGTAAGAGTAATCCTGACTGTTGCATTAATTCAGCATGGTACAAACACCTTCCCTTGCTCTTTTCAATCCGCATGCAGATTGCCTGTGCCGTCTTTGCTGCCCTCCTGCACTTCTTCTTCCTGGCAGCTTTCACCTGGATGTTCCTGGAGGGGGTGCAGCTCTACATCATGCTCGTGGAGGTTTTTGAGAGTGAACACTCCCGGAGGAAGTATTTCTATTTGGTTGGCTATGGCATGCCTGCACTGATTGTGGCTGTATCAGCAGCGGTGGACTACAGGAGCTATGGCACAGACAAAGTGTGAGTGGGATTTGGCACTTGTCAGGAGAGATGGGAGTGGGGAGGAGAAGGAAAGCAAAGAGCCCAGAGACCTGGCAGACAAAGGAAGCTTGTGCAGACAGCTCAGCCAGGAGGCATGCCTTGCTTTATCTTTGTGTCTCTAACACACTCCATGATAATAGAGGACAAATTCCTCATTATGAAAACATTTGCAAAGGTATTTTCTTGGGGATGTCAATTGGGGAAAATTTTATCACATCATTGCATAAGATCAGCAGAGGTGGCTGTCCTAAGTCTCAATTTGGTACTGTATCAGCAAGGTCATCCTTCTTCTCTAGCCAAAGAGTATTTTTCATTTAGATAACGAAACATTGCTTTCTTCTTCCTCTTTTTTTAAGTGTTGTGTCAAATTAACCAAGCCTGCACACAAAATAGGTGATGACCATGGAGTGCATTAGACTCTTTGCAAATTGGAAGTTACATCATTTATCATTATGAATATTCTTAAATGTTTTCAACATTGCTGAAGCTGGTATCAAAGCACAGCTCAGATGATCATGCAACAGTGTCTAATGGAAAACCCAGTGAAAATCAAGCCTTTGATTTTCTTTGCCAGCTTTGTTACAATAGCACTAACAATGTGTTTTATTTACTTTTTTATAACAATGTGGGTTTTTTTATCCTCTTTCTGTTGTTGGGCTGCCTTTCCCCTGTCATTTTAATTGAATTAAGGGCTCAATCTGAAGGAATGCATAGCAATGAGCTGATGGTGTTTTTAAAGATCTTTTTAAGCATAGGTTTGGTCAGCCCATGGCTCTAGTTGATATTCTCTTAAATTCAACTGCAAATTTTTTGCCTGAAACTTTATTGATATATATCAACCTGATCCCTTGCAGAAGCAAATCTGTAGAGCAGTGGAACTGCTCATGACCCATTACTGTGCCAGCTGGTAGGCTTGCATCCCAGCTGGATATTTGCCTCATGTTCCTCCCATGAGTAGGTGAATAGCAACCTGAATTTGTATAAATGTCATAGTTTGTGGAAAGGAAATGGCACACGCAGTTAAAGACAGTAAGTTTTCAAGGATTTCTACTAGTTTATGCGAAGTATTTTTACTGACTTTGTCAGGCTTAAGGGGCAAAGAAAAAGTAACACAACAGCTGATTACAGTTTTTGGAGAAGACTGTTCTCATCAGCTGCTGCCCGCTTTCTGACCCAACCAACTCTTTCATTCACATCCCCTCTTAAGCCATATATAGGCTTCCACTGAATCAGATCTTCAAACATCCTGTCTTATACCTTTAGAGAAATTTATTCTTACAGTGGTGTTTCTGTAGGAGACCTATCTTTTCACAGTGGCCTGTGTGGGGCACACTGAGCCTTAAACATGTTACAGCTGAAGAACCATGAGTCCAGCTCTCTGGAAATCCAGATAGGATGCTCTTGCAGATTTGCCATCACTGGAGCTGTGTCCACCCCGGTCTGGTTCACAGTCTGGTGTTTCAGTGGCTTCTTTCCCTGCTGTTCACCCTGTAACTTCTCCAATGTTACAGTTGCAGGGCTTGTAGGACCAGAGCGATCTTTTTTACTTCTCTTTTAATGTTTTGGGCTGCCTACCAAAAAAAGCCAACATTGCAGCTAGTTTGCAATGAAAGCTAGCACTAACTGCATTCTCTTCCAGTACACTATAACTGTTGAGTGTTGAAAAAGTCTTACTTCATTCTCTTATAGTAAAAGGACATCCACAAGTCCAGGGTATTACTTTGGACATGAGACAGCAGCTGATTTGCATCCACCCGCATCTTTGCAAAGTCCCTCTTGATGCTCTGTATGGACAGCTGACATACCAGTGTAGACTGTGGGAGATAGTGGCACACAGCAGGTGGATGTAGAGAGTGGGAACACATCACACCTAACCACAGCTCCTGCAAAGCATCATGGCAGCTTTGCAGTGCTGAAATGTTTCTGTTCCTGTTAAATGAATATATGGACCTTTCTGAAGCACAGCAAAATAAACATATTCCATGGGATACACTGCCTTTTACTTTCAGGCTTTGGGTGTCTAAATGTTTCCATGGTATGGGAGATAGAGGCAGAAACTTTGGCTGAAATTTGCTGGAGGTAAACAACAAAACTTTGCTATCTTTGTATTGAGGAGGCATCAGTCCCATGTGTGTGCCAGTAAAATCTCTCCCTTCCCACAGTATAAAGTAGTATTTTTCATTATTAAACATGTATATATAATACTTTGCAGATAAATATTTACAGAGATTTGCAGAACCAAAAATATTTATTTATAATCTCTAATTCCAGAGTGCAAAATTTTATCGTGTTCCTCTAGTGGAAAATAAAAAACATACAATATGTTTTGTATAACTATCATGCTCCATCTGGTTGATGGATGATGATGTATTTTTCTGTGTAATGTTATTAGAAGGGTAGAACTGATTAGAATTTGTAGTGAACTATATGCCAGGCATACATAATTTGATTGCAAGAAGTTGCTTGGTTTTGCCAGGTTTTGTAAAACATCCTCTGGAATATATTACTTGCCTTCCTCCATTATTTATTGCATTTGTTTAAGCAGGACTTATGGAGCTGTTAGTGTTATTTGTTTTTTGCCTGGCATTTGGTGACACCATTCATACATCTCAGAATGATTTGCTTAGACACCCAATGTAGGTTTTCTTGATTTCATTTTCCTTTTAAATCCAACCCTCCTGTAACACATGTCCCCATTACATAGCCAGGAACAAGCAGCTGTTCCTCTGTCTGTTTCTTTGCTCATTACTTGGTGCTTGTGATTTTCTGAAGCATCCCATCCTAGTATTCACATTGGCATTTTGGAGTAGCTGTACAGTAAAGATACTCTCTTACACTTAAATATTCTAATGATTGGAATTGATCCTTTTACTACTTTTTGTTTAAAAGCAATTTAAACCATTCATATTAGGTGACTGATTTCCTTTTGTAACCAAATAGCAGTGTAGTGATTCCATTAAGAGATCATCCCGTTCAGGCCAGTATGGACTATTCATGTGAGCAAGCTGTTTGGCCCTTTTCCCCCAGATAAATTAGAAATGTTGCATCTCACCTTGTTCTGTTTGTAATTTCTAAAATAGAGGTGAAAAGCAGAAAGCCCCACTGTAGACAGTGTGGACCCCCAGCACTGCCTGAGCAATTCTGTTAATGCTCATGTGAACTTTCAAGTGACTGTTTCTTACAGGCCAGGTCTTCAGATGCTGAGTCTTAAATGACATCTCAAGTTTTGCTGCAAAAAAAAAAAAAAAAAAAGAAAAAGATGATACTGGAATTGCAGTTTTAGACAGTTACACTTGCCTAGTCCTGTGTGTTAACCAAATCCATCCATCTCCTGGTCAGATCTGATGTCAAGCACTGCGATGAGCAGTGCTGTGAAATGCAGAGGGGAAATAGCATTTGCAGTTGTTGTTAGTGTTTGGAAATAACTTGTGTCTAAAATTCAGTAAAAGCTGGATTAAGGTTTTAGCAGCCTCCCTTTGAAAGGACTCACTCAGGTAGCAGACTATCCAAAATCTACAGCAAGAATCCATTCCATATTCCTGTACTGTCCGGGGATTCATCTCAGTGCCTCTTACAAATCTCAGAGGAAAGCATCTATGCTTTGAATGGCTCAATATATTTTAGAAAACATAGGTATATTCATCCACTGGTGATCAAATTCATCGTGACAGGAATCTCTTTATTGTTTCCCCCTCTCTGCCCTTTTGGTATGCTATAAAGCAGGATATACATGGTAAGCAATCCAGCTGTCAGAAAGCAAAATGAAAGCCTGGTGAATGTGCACAGCCTCCAAGTCCATCAGCCAGCTGCCGACATTTTATGCATGTTAATGTCGCTTGGAAAATAGGTTCTAACAATATGGTCTGTCTTGGGTGGCTCCACTGAACTTGTTTTATTTTCAGTATTTGTGCTGGGTATTTGGAGGAGGAAGCATGAGCAATGTAGACCCTGGACTGCTTAAAGCAGAAACTATATTGCACCCTTGAAAGGCATCGTGCATACATATTCCATTACAGCACCCAGACAAGGAGGCTGCATAGCCATGTGAAACAAACTGCTGAGCTCCCATGAACAACATGATGTGTTTAGGGGTCTTCAAATTTTACGGTCCAATGGCAGCTAATGATTGTTTATTGGTTATATTTAATGCACACCAGGGATAGTTTAGTATTTGATTTCTCTTCATGCAGAAAATAGAGTAAACCCTTTGTAGCCTTTATTACTTGAGAAAAGCTTTAAGTGAATATGGCAACTTGTCACTGTGGAAGAGGAAATTAAAAAGTAGAGGAAAGCAGCACCACAGAGCTTGTTATAAGCACTGAATATGCTTTTCTCTTGGAATAAGCAATGGGGTTTTGAACAGCATTCCCTTCACCCACAGATTTCCAGATAATCCACTCTGCCCTGAAGCAGCTCGTTTGCTTAGTGGCAGCAGAGTCTAAACTTGTAATGTGGTAAGTCCATGTTCGTGGTGCAGCTGTGCATGGGGGGTCAGAAGTAACTCAGCCCGAGATTAGCAACTTTGGGAAGTGAGTTGCCTGATTGCTTCCTTGTTTTGAGAAGCTCATTTATTCAGCTCATTGTGCATGTGGTTTTTTGTCTTTTAAGGGAAGAAAAGCTCAGTGTGGCACTTGTCTGATTAGTAATTTACATCTCCTCAACACAATTGGTGAGATGCCTGTGTTTTGATGTTTTGGTCTTAGTTTGCATTTTTAATGAGGTATGATTTAAATGTGTTCAAAGTTGTCTCACTGATGACCACAAAACCCAGCTTTTTTAAGTCCTTCTGAGGACTAGAGGCAGCTTTCCTCTTAGTCACCTAAGACTCTCATAGACAGTTTTATGGAAAGGTGATTTTTCTATTCGAATAGAAATGACATCACATTCTTTAAAGTGTGCGGAGGGAGAAAAAAAAAAAAAGGTTTTCTCCGTTTTTTTGCAAGCTCTACTTTTCCTTAGATGAAGCCATCTCTTGTTGGAAGGGGACCTTTTGCTCTGTGCCTGTCCCCTGCTTATTCTGAGGGCAGGACCTGGTTCCTCCACTGTTTCCCATACACAGCATCCATCTCTTGCCCTGAATTGTGCTTCAAAACCAAAGAGATTTTTTAGGGGAATGGGGTGGAAAATTTTATCCATTTGGCTGTCTGAGAAGGAAACCAGTTGCTTCACTCTTCTTTTGCTCAGCCCAGCACAGCTTTTCCCTCATGCTGTATTTCAGTTTTCACTGATTTTCCCTGTATCCCAATCTATATGCATTCAGAAACAGCTGCATCAGATGTGACCATATGGCTGGCCATCATGCTTCAAGGAGTAAAGAGTAGGTTTATGTCTTTCCTTTTCACTGGGCTTTCCAAGAGCTGGCTCACTCTTCGTGCTGAAGGAAAACCAAGTTTCTTGGCAATTAAAATACAGTCTGCTCCTGACACCTGTGGAAGTATGGGCACGGGATGTTTTGGAAGTTAAACTGGCAAAAAAGTTCAATTTATTTTAATTAAAAAAACACAAACAAACAAACAAACAAAACCCCACCTCTGAGTCCTCTCCCAAACATCAGCACTCTTATTATCAGTAGAAAAAAGTTGTGGGTCTGGGTATTCCCTGATTTATAAGTGTCAACTGAGGCATAAGAACCCATTACACTTTTTTTTTTTTTTTTTCCTGTGGAATGAGGGAGGAATAAAGTCTGAAATTCCATGTAATTGTGTGAACTGCTGCTATGCAGATGTCTTCTTTCAGGGGTGGAGGGAAGGACTTTTTACTGGGACTTTATTACCCTTGAAACCTCTATTCCTCTGTAAAATCTAGTTGCAATTGGGCAACTTTTCAGGTGTTATTATGAGTGATACACAGATGTCATGGTCACATAAACCCTTTCCTGTAATAGATCAGACTCAAATAGCTTCTAGACACTCATGTGGTTCCAATACCAGTTTCATCTGAATCACCTTGAACTTCAGCAGCTGAAGAGGAAACAAGATTTCCCTGCAGTTGCTCTGAAAGCCTGTTTGCCTCTTGCATTAAGATTTTGATGCTGTTACATGATGATTTTGGACGAACAGCTGCAGAAGCAGTTCAGGACTGATGGTTGTGGAAGTGATGGCATTTTAATTTGTGACAAATAGTGGCACAACTATTATATATAGATTGATAGGTCTCCAACACTGATGAGACCTGAAATTTGTATGGTCAGGGAGGCAAGTGAGAAGCTTTCTCTACATTTTTTAGTTTATTCATATTTTGGCTGCTCCCAGTCAGAGAGGTTCCGGACATGTTTTATTCTCTCAGCAAGCTGATCTCTTCTGTGGGGCACAGACCATTCTGCCTTTTGCAAAGTCCATTGCAAGGGAAAAAAAAATATCAGCTCTTGCGCTAGAACTGACATTTGTGAGAGCTGCTATCTCTTCCACCATGATAAATTCATATATACAGGTCCTGTCTCTTGCCTAGTTCTGAAATTCCATCTGATGTTTAGTATAAGAGTGGTTTTGTGCTTTCTTAGTCCTCTGTGTATAAATGGAGCTGTGATTTGCAGCACTGCAAACACGACAAGATATTATTATTTTAAACATCGTGCAAAAGTTTCTTGGAATTTATATTTGTCTGTCTTGTAACCAGTCACTTCCATTTTATCTTCCTGTCGCCTGCAATGAACTAGGAATGGAAATGTAATTTCCCAGGGGCCTTAAAAAATGTGGGGAGTATTAAATGCAGTTGAAATTAAGTGATTAATAATTTAGTTTTAGGCCATGAATCAACTTCATGTGATAGCGCAGACCATATGCAACCCTCGAAACATTAGTGGAAACAAAATGCTCCGGAGGTTCAGGGAAATAAAACGCTCTAAAGGGGAAGTTGCTGAACCTAATTAAACCTCAGCCTTCTGTTACCCAAATCGTGCTTCCTATTTCACCAAATTTGCTCTGATCTGCTTGCTTGAGAAATGCCATCTTGTTTGACAGTTGACAGACAGCTTGTGTTGCATCAGAGCTGGAGAGAAAAGAGGTGCATAAAGCAAAGAAGAAGCTCCATGGATCCTTATCAGACCTCTTCCTTAAAAAAACCCACAGTTCTAAGTATTTTTTTCTGACAGATGCAGAAAGCCTTTGCAGCCATGCCTTGTGCCATTTTCCCTGCTTCCTCCAGAGGTAATTATCTTATTCCATCAATAGCGCTGTCAGAAATTGGGCACATAATTCAGCATTTAAATGAACAAGCAATGTAATATTTCCTGTCTCCCACCGGTGTGTTTTGCTGCTCACATTCTTCTCTGTCACTCTCTCACTCTTGATGTATGTCCTGGGTGCAGTCCTTGAATGCCTTTTTTCCCCTGTGTTTCATTACAGATGTTGGCTCCGACTTGACACCTACTTCATTTGGAGCTTTATAGGACCGGCGACCTTGATAATTATGGTAAGAACTCCTAATTAACTACTCCATCTCTCAGGTCAAGAAATAAAACTTTTGCTGTCCCTTCACGCTTTATCTTTAATTTACACAGATTAATTTGAGAAAGGCATGTTCTTCTTTGACCCCACCTGGCACAAGCAATTAGACCCTCATTAGGAGAGGCTCTTGGCATTGCAAAATACTTGATCAAAATGGGCTGGGGAGCTTCAGAGCGGGCTTTTGCAGAGTTCTGTTTCTACTGCTGGGCATTTAGAATTGCCAAACTATTTTGATGTCCCTCACTGCCCTGCTTTTGCATTCCAGAGCAAAGCTTTGTACTGAACATGCAATAAATCTGGGTTTGGGGAAACGAAATATAACTGGAAGAGGGGTTTGATGGGGGTTTTTCCTTCCTGGCAGAAGTTGAAGCTCATCTAACTTCATTGTTAGCATATTGCCAGTATATCAGCTAACACAGCAACAAGGTAGACAACCCAACTTTAGAGGCAGCTGGAGTTTTCTTATACTTTAATCGCTGCAATATGGCTTAAATAAACCATCCTTTGTTTTGGATAGACTACGGGTTGGCTAACACAGCAAACCAGGCACTCTCATGTCAATGCAGACATTGTCTTTGCTTCTTCTGCAACTGGGAGCTATTTCAGCAGCCCTTCACATAAGGGGGCGGTGTAGGGTGTGAGATGAGGGGTGCAATGCCCCCAGCTGCAGCTGTTGGGTTTTTTTCCCCTTAAGCAATTCATTCATGAAAAGGTATCTTCCCTTTCTGATATGTCTCAAACCCTGGCCTGGGCTTTTGGGGGAACTCCTTTCCAAGAGCTAGCAGACTTGTTTAACATTGAGTCATTGAAACACTGTCGCATCTTTCACAGAACAAATAAAACTCTTTTTCCTTTTAATTTTTCAACTTTGCATTGTGCTAAGTATCTTCAAATATCAGGATTTCCCTGCCCATCTTCCCTGTTACACCATATATTCACAGAAAAAGATGCTTTTGTGCTTCATTACCAGGGGGCTAGCTAAGCAAGATGCTTGAAATGACTTTTCACAACTGTCCATCTCAAGACACGGAAAAATAGTTACAGCAAATATTTTTCATTGTCTGTAACATTGAAGCACTACAGTTGATGTTGGAACCAGCCTCGTATCAGTAGCATATGCAGCACCACAGCTTTCATAATGTTGTGGCATCACCAGTCCTGCAGTCTACAGGCCAGCTCACCTTATAAAATGCTCGGCAATTTTCTGTAATTCAGTTGCTATAAAACTGCAGTGAGAGCTAATTTCCTACAGCGATTCATCTGTTACAGAGAAGAAACTGACTTTCTCCCCATCATGTTGTGTCGTGTCATGTAACCAGTTTTTTTCCTTTACCCCATATTGCAGCTTAATGTCATCTTCCTTGGGATTGCTCTCTATAAAATGTTTCATCATACTGCCATACTGAAACCCGAATCTGGATGTCTTGACAATATAAAGTAAGTTGGTGGGTTTTTTAATTTCTCTATTCCTGTTTCAGTCTTCTGCTGTTTATGCCCCTGTTCTTTTCTGAGGAGCATACAGGGAACCAACTCTGCTGGCAGCAGTGATAACAGAAACAATATGTGTTTTTATGGTACTACAGAGTGTTTTTTAATAGGTACCAACAAGTGACTTATAATGAAGCACTGTTTTTGTTGGGACTTGGCCACCAGTGGTGGCATTTTCCATTCAATTTTCCATGAAGGAAGCAAAGTTGTATTTGCTGTCCTTGAAGCAGGTAACCTCCTAGTCCCTCTGTGTAGAAGGAAATTTTGCCTGATAATTACTGGCTAATTATTTCAGTCTTTACAGGGAAGGTGTTGAAATTGTTGATCATTACTATTTCTCTGTGCTCTGAGGGTGGCAGCCTTACTTATTTTCTGTTTTGGCCCCTGACAGATTTAATGATCCAAATTCTCTCCAGAATCTGATTAGTTTCAACAAGTTGCTGGGATTTTACCTGGGGGTGCCCACATCAGAGGATGTGCTTGCTAGGCAAGGCATGTATTGCCCTTGGACTTGCTAAATATCTGAGCTTGGGCATCTTACTGTGTAGCAAGCTACTTCATTATATTGATAGAATATTAGTCTCCACAATGCCTGTTTATTCAAGTACCTCTGGCTTTAATTACTCACTTCAAAAATACAAGTGAGATTTCAGGTGCAGCGCATGATAAGATGGGGAGCCTGCTAATTAATAAAACCATCTAATGAACTTCCGGAGGAGGAAATTGCTGTAAGTCAGTGCTTTACTGCCCACCCAGGAAAGAGGAGTGTTGTACAACATGGCTGAAAGTTGGTTCTCCCTTCTCTTCCTTTTGAAGAGGCAGAAGGGGAGCTTGCCTAACAAACAAGCTGTTGCAATGACTGAATTGCAGAATTGCAAGGCAGTTCTCAGCAAGGTTATTGTTCTTACAGCAGAGCTGCTCTCGCAGATGTGTCTTTAATTTAAGTTACACCATCCCCCCTTAAAATTTACCCAGCAGGCAATGCATGCAGTGCCACTGGCATGCCACAGCCTGCCATGGGCCTTTGGGTGAAGGTTTAGTTTCTTAATTGTAGCTACTTCTTCAAGGTTTGGGAGGAAAGGGAACCAGAGCCTGCACAAGCACAGGAGACCTCAGTGAGGTCAGGGAACTGCAGGGTGTTCGTTCGCCATGTCTGTCCCTGCCAAGGTTGTGGGCAGGCTGCTCTGCAGTGTGCCTCTGTTTCTTCTGCCATAAATAAGCTAATAGATGAAATTAGAGGAGCAGTCTCTCCTGGATGTCCAGTACTGATGCCAGCATGATAGTCTTTCATTTGGTCTTGGATGAGGTGTTAAAGAAATGGTACATTTAATAATACTTATTAATGTGACTACCCATCATGCATTAGTGCTGTGGGATTCCTTGCTGAGAACAGCCTTTATAAGGTTACCCATCAAAATCTGTCTGGAAAGCTTTGCAGTATGACATTTAAATTAAAAAAAAAGGGGGGGAAATGTGCGACGATAACAACAAAGCCCACATAATTAAACACAGAAATAATAATTGCCTACAGTATAATCTTACTTGTGTTAATCTCTAGAATTGTTGTTTAAAATGCCAGGAATTTATACAGCTAGTTACATTAATTCTAATGTCATTGTGAAATAATTTATAGCTCCTTTGGCAGATGAGTGTCTATTTCTGATTTGACTTCATTAAAACATTTTGAAAACACAAGCAATTTAAATACTTCTAAGTATGTTGCTGATACCCTTCCAAATGTGTTGCTTCATTGCAAATGAATTTTTATGCTTGAAAAAGTATGAAAATTTTAATATAAACTCAGGAAGACCCCAAGCTCACCCTAGGAAGTTCCTCAAAGCAATAATTTCAGAAGGGACTTGCCTGTAATTTCTGAGTACCTAAGCAGCCTAAATCTCTGTGTTGTCTCAGTATCAGTTATGCTTGAGCTAGGAGAAAGCGTAGATCTTTAATAGAGAAGGGAGCTTTGAGGGAGCTTTTCTAGGGATGTGAGGGGCTTGCAGTCTCTGGAAAACTCTTCGGTAAGATTGCAGTCGTCTTGTGGGTAAAATTGTAGTCTTGTTCTAGGTAAGATCTTGGTCTTCTTCCAAAGTCATTGGTTCTAACTCAGTTGCAAAATGTGAATGACGTTCAGCAGCTCTAGAATAAAAAGCCACAGACCACATTATTTCACAGGTGAACCGCAAGGTCCTTTTGAGCTTACCTCCATGGGTCTATACAGTTGGTGAAAAGACACCCAGGTCTGTTTCTCGAGGCATGCACTGCCTTTGCTGGCTCTCAGCATGGTCCCAGAGCCTTGCATCTTGTCTTATCAGTTTATATTTAAAAGACTAAACCAAACCAAGGGCCTGCATTGCAGGGCCTCTTGGTGCCATCTGCATATGACAGTTTTACGGCAACAGAGAGCTGAATGGGAATTTGTTCTCCCAGTTAATTTCCTAGCACTGTTCTGTGTTAGGCTGTGGTGAAGCTCTCGCAACATAAATCCTGAGCCTGTTCAACAACAGCAAAATACTTGATTCCCTATGGCAACGTAAAAATAAAGGCCATAAAATATTTTAATAGGCTGTTAATAAGCTCCCCTGCAATCTGGTGCTTGCCTATGTCACTTTAAAGGTTAGAAATACATTATGAAGTATAGAAAATAGAGAAACAAATAACTCCACTTAAATTAATGAACTTGATAAGGGATCAGGTGTCACCTGGGATACCTTTAATTACTGCACCAACAGAAAAGCCATTCAAAGGGCAGTGCCTGAACCAGATGCTGTGTGGCTGAAAGATTTGTAGGCACTGTGCAAAGTTGTAAAAATAACTTCTCTAACCTTCAGGAACAGTCCCTGGTTACTGTGCCAGAATGGGAGAATCTGACATTCCATGATGGAGCACTGGTTAGCCAGGGGTTACTGAACAAGAGATTTGATGTTCTGGTACAGAACTGGTTTATTCTTTACCCACATTAACTTGTCCAGCATAGCCCAGCACTTTCAAGCGGGAAGTAGGGTGAGTCCTTCCCCTTATGCAAAGAGCATCCTCCTTGTATGGCAGGTTGATATTGAGCCGATTCAGTGGCTTGCTCCTGCTGACAGTGAGGTTCATGCTCTTGTCCTGCTTTGAGACATGTGGACAGAAGATATGAGCTTATGTACAGGGGATATGTTGTTCAGAGATGCAAGAGTTTCTGTGCCTGCTGCTGATGCCAGGAGGGCAGACTAGCTCCCATTTCACAGCACATACCATCACCAAAAGTAGCATACTTTTATCTAGGGCCCTGAAAAAGTTCAGTTTCTCTTCTTCCTTCAATACATTAAAAAAGAAATTTTAAGCATTCAGTCAGGGTGGGAATCTCTTTTGACTTTTAAATATATCTTTAATATGAAGCTACACAGACAAGGATGCTGAAATGGCTGCCTCTTGAGTGGCGTGTGCCCATATTCCTCCCATAAACACAGGGCAGGAGGGGATTTTCCTTTGCAGCCTTTTCCAATGGCCATTTCCAGGTGCTTGATGTCCACTGTGGTCATTTCTCTTTCATCTCTTCATGCTTTGTTGGCAAACATAGGTAAGCAGAGGTGGGCAGTGAGGAACATTGTTTAGCCTTTAGTAGCTCCTCCCACATCACTTGTATCTCACTCATGGTCTAGGAGAGCGTAAGTGGGATGCAGAGGTTGCACAGAATTGTTCGTGAGCACAAACTGATTAACTGACAACAAATGTAACTGAGAAGACATCTTTTTGGAGTATTGATTCCCCCAGCTCTTACAAGCTTGCAGGGAAGACAGGTCTTTCAAGCCAGGGACTACACAAGCTTTTTGGATGGCAGAAGCCTGCTGTGCTGTTTGCATCTGTAGCCTGCAAGGTGGAGAGTATAGGCGTATCAATGTGATATTGATGCACTCTTGCTAACAGATGGCTACTTGCAAGGACTCGTTACTAGCTGGAATACTTTAGAGCAGCTGTGAGACTGTTTTACCGGAGGTTGCTGCCATGTGGAGTGATTTTAGAAGCTGAGCAGCTCAGTCTCTCCTTCACGCTTTTCCATTGTGCTGGGTAGATGTTAGATGTGTGAAATGTCTCAGACTGTCTTAGACAGGACTACACTGAATCTTTTTTATATTCACATTCCTGTAGGAAGCCTTATGTGACAAAGGAAAATACATCTATATACGAATAGTCCAAAATGGTTCTTCAGTTTTCCATCCATCAACTCCTTTCTGGGTGGTCAGGCATGTACTGTGGCTGCTTGTCGTCCCTACACACCAGGTTTTCATCCTACCCATGCCAGATGCTGCAGCAAGACAAACCATCTACATGTTTCCAGATGCTTAGTCCCCATTCTCTGTGTAAAATGGAGGGTTTCAGATGAACCCCCTCCCCAAATGCCTTTGTGTGGTGTGACAGTGCAGTGCTTCTCTGCAGACATTCAAATACTGCTTGTTCATGCCATTGTGATGTTTTCAAAAGGAAAAAAAGAGGGGCTAAACTTATCATAATCCAGGTGTGCTCTTCACCATATCTACTGAAGTCTGAGGTCCTGTCTTTGCTGTACGTTGTTATCATGCGCAATGTAGAATGCATTAGTTACTTACGTGGAAAACTGGTAGAAAATTGGGCGGGTAGAGCACTTATTTGGTTAACAAAAGGCAAGTCTTACAAGCAGATTGAAAGGATCCATTAATGGCGCCGAGCAGCTGCTGTGCCTAAAGTTAGAAAAGGCATCTCCAAATGGCTGGAGGGCAGAGGGTGAAACCTGATTTCTCCTAGCAGAGACCAGAAGCCATCCTTTCTCTTCCTTACAGGCAGAACCATTCCTTTGAAGTTCCTGTGGGTACCCAAGTGCTGTCTGACTGTGGTGGGTTCTGTTAGCATTTCCCCCAGCCAGACCAGACTCCCTGACTTCCTTCTGCACTGCAGTATGTGGAAATGAGATTTTCTTTTATCTACTTTGG